ATAAATCTAAATAGAACATATGGGGTCATTTGAAATGACTCAGAAAAATTGACATTCCCATAGATTGATTTTGGCATATTTCTAAACGAAAAAATAATAATGGCATAAGGAAAAATACTTTATTGAATAATATATTGAATGTATTTAATAAATTTTATTGCTTAGGAATAAGATATAAACATATTATGTAAAGGCTCAATAAATAAAAATAGATAGACTCAATGATTATTGTTTTCTTCTATGTTGCGTGAAAATGGGTAACTGATTCATTGATTGAGCGAGTGAGTAAGTGAATGAGATCGAACGGACAAAGAGAACAATTAAATTTTGAGAGTAAACAAACTCTGTATGAAATAGATAAATTGTTCCTAGCAGTGGAATCCAGAGCGCCTGTTTCGTCTTATTTGGGACTCACTGAATGAATGTACCTGTAGACCAATTTTGACATTCACATTGAAATTAGAACCTAGTACTTCTCGCTTCAAATTTTCAACGCATTATTCACTTAGCCAGTGAGTTCATATATCCACTAACTTATCCGATGTATATGGTGTTTATCAAATATTAGAAAGGCTTTGGATTATTCTGTCGTTGATGTCATCAAATGAATTTGATACAATTGATGAGTCCCAAGTAGGACGAAACGTTAGCCTTGCATTCCACTGCCAATCATAATTCAATGATTTTATAAAAATTATGACAAAGTGGCTATATCACGGTATGCACATATCAAAAAATTCTTAGATAGCCATAAAATAATCCATATCCTTTCTGATAATATAAATTCTATATATTTGATAATAGTGTGCCAAAAAATAAATCCCGTTAGATAAAACTTCAACAATTGTGAAATAACTCCTTAATATTTACAGAGTTCAGTTTACTTGATGCCCAAATATAAATTTTATTAAACTAATAGATAAAAACTAGAATATAATCAGTGTTCCACATATTCACTAGACGAAGTGAAATTGCTAGGACTAATTAAAGAAAGAAAATATACTAAATGAATAGAGTAATCAAATGTTTATGTTTTAAATGATAACTGATAAATGGATATAGCTAAATATCAAGTTGTATCTAGTGATGCAATTGTTCAAGGCAGTTTTCTAACGCATTATGTACAACCGGTACATAAAAACTACACACCACGGAAAATTTGATAAATGGTGATAAAAGGGAAGATTGTATGAGGAAAGGATTCATACTTTTAACTAACACATTCGCCGTATTCCCATCCATAAGTACTAAACTAAGTTCATATAGTCAATAGAACTTATAGTACAAAAACGTATTTTAATTTAGCTAGATTGGTCGAAAGTTAGATGTTCATATCTATTTCCAACGGCTGGCTTTTAAAGGTTAATTAGACTAATTAATATTAATGTCTACTTTTTAGAGAAATAAATAGAACTTTCCAAAAATAATACCATCCCATCTACTGATCGAACTATGGTTTTCATAGTGTACGCTTACTATCTCTAAAACTGCATTTAGCGAAACATGAGTTCAGTGATGTAGACTACCCATATTCACTACTTCACAAAAAATTGTTACTTGCCTCAATAATTCTCACATTTAAGATTTTTCGAAAACATTTGTAAACTGGTCATACACTATAAGCAAAGATGGATGGTGGCTAGCAGTAGGATTCAGGATGCGCGTTTCGTCCCGTTCGGGACTCGTCACCTGAATGTACCGGCGTTTAAAGTGAACGGTACTAGGTTGGAGTTCCGGAGTGAACATCAACTTCGAGATGCATGTACGTCCCGAAATAGAACGAAACGTACGTCCTGGATTCCACTGCTAGCCACCTTCCATCTTTGCTTGTGACTTTAGGTAACATCAAGTCAATGCGCACAAGATGCACATATCCCAATGAGAGACTGATCATGGGCTCCAGTATCCTGAAGGAACAAAAGGCGTATGAGCCAATTATGGATCACCGGCTACTAGAGGACTCCATCTCCTGACGTTGCTCCACTCCCTTGTGGATCAAACCTTTAGGTCGAAGACTCCGGGTGTGACCCCCTAAGAAAACAACCTGTTTCGGTTCTGGCACCAAGACAGTATCCCAGCCCTCACATAAATCGAATGATTTACGTGGCGCATACCTTTTTGGTGCCTCCTTGTACTAATGTTTGTGTTTAAAGGAATAAATAGTAAAAATACTATTCACAGTGAAAACAACAACATTGGTTACAGTCTTGTGAACAATGCAAACTACTAACTTTATTCAATGCCTGATTCTAAACAAAATCAAAGCTATGCAAAGACATAAAATCGACTAGTCAACTGAAAGTTATCAAATCGAGGGTACATTTAAAGTAGAAATGATCCTGACAATGATGGTTAAAACAAAAACGTTGGTTAAAATAAACAGTTAGTAATGATTCGAGGTAATACAGTGTGTTACGGTAAAAGAGATTTTTTAAAAAAACAAGTCACCGACGACGAAATTCAGTTCACCTTTATTTGTAGAGTGATGGCATAGTGGTTAAATTATTCAACTTCTAATCACCTGGTCGCAAGTTCGAGTCTTGCTCCACCTACTTTGTTTGGACATCTGAGTATCGCTAGCCTTTACATGAAAAGAAGTCTCAAAACTGAGTGCCAAAAGTCCACACAGTAAATTAAATTAAAGATTAAAAACGGTTTCAAAAAGGGGTTGAAGAAGAATTTATCCCATGATCTAATGATTACAGGTTAATTATTTTGGTGATTTGGTGACGGTATTGATTTGCAAATACCTCATTTAGACCATAGAAATGACAGTTTAACGTTGTGTCTAGGTTTAATCATGAAAATCTTTTGTCTCAATTAAAAACCCACTTTAACTTAAATATAAAAGCAAAATAACTTTAATTTCTTTGCTGTTGTGTTATAATAATTTCAACCGTCAAAAATTGTAATTTTGAATGCTGTCATAAGATGTTTCTATCACTAAAATTAAGTAACGTTTCACAGAACTATTATATTCACCAAAAGGATAGAAAAGTTAGTAAAATATCGTCTACAAATCTCATACCTTCAAATAATTTTACTTAGCAAACAGTGAATAGTTAATTGGTAACATAAATCATGGTCAAGTATGCACATAATGCAGTTTACATCGCGAAATAACTTTGGACAACCACGAAATACTAAGAGGCATCAGACAATTTTTCCATCCTACTATAGGACTCTACAACAGTGAGCACACACGCCCTTATAGGAAATAAAACCCAGGACATTCATGCTTGATAGTGAGTAGTTAAGATTTAAACTATAGTTGCAGTTTAATGGTTTAAATTTCCAACATCAATCAATTCGCGATATTGTGCAACCACCTCCCAATTATATTGGTGGGTAACTGCCTCACAAGTGACATAGTTGAACTCCATAAATCACGCATCTCACTTAAACCCAAGCAATCGCTTCTCAAAATTAGTCACTACTTAAAACATGTTAAGTTAAAGCAGCTACTCAGTGCTTTGTGGTCTACTATGTTGGCTTAGGTAAAGCTAGCTCGTCATTTACACTATGAAACTCTAATATATTTGGCGGTTTACTTTTTCAACGTAATTGGTGAATGTTTACCTGTTAAAATTGTTCACGCCATGACGAAGTTAGCAGTTAGATGAATTGTTTTTTCTACCTACATATATATATATAAACTGGATAATTAATAGTGGTTGTTTTAAGCCGTAATCTGCGTTAAATTTTTCCTATGAAGCCTAACAATAATAAATAACTTCTCAAACCGATTCCAGTCGAGTTGACTCTAAACGCATGACTTAATAACCGAAAGCTGAATGTTCATATCAAACATAAGACGACTAGTCTACTAGATCATGTAGAAGTAAACGTAAAAGCCGTCAGATGTTAGATCCTTTGAATCTATTCAGGGAGGAGTCATAGTAATTTATAAGGAAATTTCATGCTCAAACCCTGCGCTGTCTGCTTCGAGCAGTCAGGTAGTACCACCAACCCTCCTACAGCATGACTCACAGCTGAGTATAAATACCTATAACAAAGTGGGTGATTGATAGTAAAATCACTCATTTCGATTAATATAAAAGTATAATAATCTTTTTATTACAAAAACATTATTTTTCAACACAATCTATTACCTAAACTAATTTCCGCTTTTAAAATACCGGAAAAATTGAATACAATAGCACCAAATGTTGACCAAGAAGGAGAATATTTGAAGTTGGTTTACGTACGAAAGAATAGCAATAACACTATATTACCGAGACAATTAAATATCAACGAAATGTGATAACCACAAAAATGAATATATGTATAGCAAGCAAACTATAAACTGACAAAGAATAGTCAAACCGAATTGTGAAACAAAAAAGACTTTTTTTGTTGAGCATGTACTACTTCCAGCTGGAGTCCTTAAAATGTGAGAAATCAGTGGTTATAAGTCATAAGTGACACGAAGGAATGCTTAATACAAGAGTAAAGCACAACTATGTATGGAGTGAAACAGATATCACTAACGCCAGTGAATGATATTTACGCCCACAGAGAATCGACTGAAGATCGAAGACGAATTTTGATTCAGAGGTTTGATCGTGCTTATCGTGATCGTTTCAAGATTTAGGCAGTCACTTTCCGAATAACTTGCAACAGAATACTGCTGAGAAAAAAATATTTCTTCAAAGCTCCCTCAGTTTTAATGGTCTGTTCTACAGCTGATAAAAACTAGTCTTAAACTAGTCAATCTACACTAACCCCCTAAATTGATTGTCTTTGCATTTGTTTATTCATATGCATTGAGACACTTTATTGATGAAATTCCCCCGCCTGTCATAAAAAAAGGCGATCGTTCAAACTTTCCAGTTCACACATGGTTTTACGTCATAATAGTAATAATAAAGGTAATAATAATAATCTAATTTGGTAATATGTATCTACTATAATGTAAGCGTAACAAATAATCCCCTTGTGCATACGTATACACACATGAATTTCTACTCAAAACATAATTACAATCCATTTTTAATTACCTGAAACGACCGATGCGTCTTAAATGGGAAAACATTTCTCCCCCATTAACAAATTCCAAAACCATATACAAATTGCTATTGTCCTATAGTAATAAGAGAAACAAATAATACGAAGGGTTTTAGATAAAATAATCAAATTCATCTTCTTGGTATACTACTCAAATGCACTTTAGAAGCGTTTGCATATTATAATTTAACCCAGTGACTCGATCAAAGTTTATGCACTGGATTTTCAAGTACACATTTTATCAACGATTACAGTAAAATTATATTACACTTTCAAAAACGTTTGATTCAAGTGGACATTTGGATTTTGGTGAACGATTCGAAGACGCATTTCGTTAACTACTTAGTAGATTTTCCTTAGAGAGGATTTGTTTTTGTGACATGAAGTAAAAGCAGTCTCATATGGGCATGATCTGATGTTAACTACTCAGATATTATGATGTATTATTCGTTAGTACAGTAAATCCACGAAGATTGATTGTTTTCGCCTGTTCCAAACTAACTACAGCAGCCCTAGATAACGGTCTGTCTGTCGACGTGATATTCATAGATTTTAGCAAAGCGTTTGACAAGGTTTCACACATAGGTCTTATGCAGAAGCTCACGAGCTTCGGAATAATAGGTACTGTACATGCGTGGATAGGAAATTTCTTATGTGACCGCAGACAGAGAGTGAGGGTCAACGGAACGCTATCCGACTGGAAGCCGGTCAAAAGTGGTGTACCCCAAGGCACCATCTTAGGCCCCCTGCTCTTCCTTCTCTACGTTAATGAGTTACCGCTGTTACTTAGGTCGTCAACATTATTATTTGCGGATGATGTAAAAATCTGGAGAACAATAAAAAGTGCGGCTGATCATCTGGATCTTCAAGCTGACTTAGACGATTTAGTTAGATGGGCTCGAGAGTGAGGCTTAGAAATCAATGCTAGGAAGAGTGTACTAATGCACATCGGTCACGGTAGTAGTTACCGTTATACTATTGAGGGTAAACCTCTGCCATGCGTTCAAAAGCATAAAGACTTAGGAGTAGTATTAAGTCATGATTTAAAGACAACTACGCATTGTAAAGCAGCCGCTGTCAAAGGTTTTCGAGCGTTATGGTCACTTCGCCGAGCGTTCAAATCTTTTGACGAGGAAACGTTTCGAATTTTATATCCCACCTATGCAAGACCACACTTAGAGTACTGTATCCAAGCAGCTAGCCCATGTCTGGTAAAGGATACTAACTCCCTTGAGCGTGTCCAGCGTGTGGGAACGAAATTAGTGAAGGGTCTTTCTAGACTCCCTTACGATGAGAGTTTAAAACGCCTAAATCTTTTCCCCTTGTCGTATCGTAGGACACGAGGTGACCTTATAATGGCATTTCGTATCTTTAATTATGATTTGGGTGTTAATATGTCTTATCTTTTTGCTCCCTCCAGGACTAATAATCTCCGCGGTCATAGCAAGAAGGTTCATAAACCAAGATCTAATAAACTTAAAGTGGGGTTCCGTTTTTCTCATCGAGTAGTCAATGATTGGAACGCCTTACCCGAACAAGTGGTATCAGCCCCATCAGTGAATACTTTCAAGGAGAAGCTGGACCTTCACTGGAAAGCAGTGCGTCAGGATTAATACAGGTTCATCAACCTACTATCCTTATTACTGAAGACTGAAGACTAAGTCATATTGTTAGCTATACCACCGGACAGTATGAACTGGCATGATATACTAAGCGTCTTTGGACAGATTTGAATATTATCACAAATTTGTGTAACAAAGACATTTCATTGGATTATCTCATTCACTATAGTGAGAGTACGAACTAGCACAAATGTGTATAGTCCATATAAAGACTTGTAGATCGAAAAAGTAATTTTTTCGGGGTTTTTCCTCTAAGCTGAAAACTTTAATCGTGATAAGGCAAGCTGTTAATTGTGTATGTGCAGAAATCTTAGTAGCCCAATTTACATGATGTCACGATGTTTATAAAAGCTTCAACATAACACCTTCCAACTCACAATACACGCCCAGCTCTAGCGTACACCTCAACAGTTCGAAAGTTTAATGGGGTTGCTTAAAACACTTTAACGACCTTACAAAGGGTTAAAAGGAAAATTATCTGAGGTTGCATAAACAAGTTTCTGGACCGGATGTACCCTGGTTTTAGAAATGGGAGGACGGTTGTGAATTATTAAGTGCCAAAACATGAAAATATTATATGCCCATACGGACATATATTTATTCATATACGTTTTAGCCCCCCAACCCATCAGAATAATAAATGCGGGGTATACAATGAAGGGTACAGTGTATAGACTACTGGTCTATAATTAAACAGCAATAACGCTTTGAAAACAACGAAAAATCCCATCAAAAACAGCATATAAATACGGTGATGAAAGTTTTTAAACTTTTGGTTACCACTACAACAGTTTGAAGCATTAACTGCTCACTTACTTTGAAATGATAATCCAACCGGACAAGGAACGGAAACGAAATAGCTTGCAATATACGCTTTTCGTTTAACGTATGTTCAACTTGTTTCAACTTCACCACCTGTAAATAAAATAAACACTCAAATAACTTCAAAAACCTTTTGTTTGTCTAAAATCTTCATAGCATAATACTCCTTGCTGACTTTGTGCTGGACTAGCATCACGCGTCCGAAAGACCCAGTGCCTAACGTTTTGATTCGGTCGAATGAATCCAGAGTGGCCGTGTTCTAAAAAAAATTCGACATCAAAAAGTAACACACCTGAGCAGGCTTCTCCCATTTTTCTAGAAATTCTTTCTTTGCTTCTTCCAGAAGAGCTTTCACTAAAAGTATAAATTAAATGAAGCATGAAAAATCGACGATTAGTTAATAGAAAAAATATATTAAACGTTCACTTACCATCGGCCGGATCACCCTTTTTAGCAGCTTGTGCATTACCCATCGATTCTGACTCCCAAGTGATATTACGCGTTTCAAAAGAGTTGCTCCAATTAGGTGATTTAAACAAATATTCAGATCTCAAAGTTTATCTTTGAAAAAACGTTCTACTGTTAAGCACATCCAAGTTGAATACAATAAATGAATTATATCTGTGCTATGGGTCTATTGGCCCAGGCCTGCCAGAAAAACGATGGCAGAAGCAATGATAATAAGAGCACTGACGGAGAAGAATGTGTCAGTGTAGTGATTGCTGCTTCTGGACCCGTTAAACACCTGACTGTGGTTGACGGAAACGTGAAATCTCCATTGACATTAACGAGGGATGAAGTGCTGCTTGATGTTGACATCGGCAGTCATATACCTCTAGTTGAAATAGAAGATCCGGATAAAAATGTCACCGTTCCACGTAGTTCAGGTGTGGCTGTCCTGACTGGTGACAAATAGACTTCAGTAAAGAGAAAAAAAATTTGAAGAAAAAGGCTGTGTGCAAAACGCAGCTGGTCATCAAGGCATTGCAAGGGATGTTATCAGAAGGAAATTCCTCACTGCGTAACAAGACAGATCTCTCTGAGAGATCAGACATTTTTCATAGGATAAGAGAATCTTCAGATAAAGAACCAAAGACAAGATTTGAACACGATCTCAATCGTATTAAGACATTATTAGGTAAATTACTCCCAGATACAGTTTCAGGAGTCAGTATTTGTAAGTTTTATAGAATAGGAAAAAAGGTGGATTCCGAAAGTCCTCAGAAAAACCGCCTCCTAAAGGTTACATTCAACACGGTGGAAGAAAGAAACCTGATTCTAAGTAATTCACGTAAACTGATAGGATCCGGAATATATGTCCGTGAGGATCTCAGCCTAGCAGATCGTATTAAGAGACGAGCTGCAGAAGCGGAAATAAATGAACGTCGCCAAAACGGGGAACGAAACCTTAATCTTAAGGGTTTTCAAGTCGTAAAAGTTCGGAGCAAAACGATCCCCAAGCCACTCTGGGTGGCAAGGGAAAGCTCTCCACAGACTTAAAGGTATGCTACACAAATGCTCGCAGCCTACTAAATAAAATGGCGGAGCTCAACTCAGTGGTGGTTAAAGGAAACCGGACATTATTTCTGTCTCGGAAACTTGGTTAACGTCAGAAGTATTAGATAGTGAAATCCAGTTGACTGGTTTCATAGCCAGTAGGGCTGATAGATTAAACTGTAGGGGAGGCGGGGTTTTTCTGTACACGAAAAGTACCCTAACCATAAGATAAGCTGAGACAGTAGCACATGTTTCAGGGACATGTGAACTGGTGAGATGTAAGTTGAAATGCCGACGGCAAGATATTGAATTAGTTGTAGTATGTCGCAGTCCAGAATGTGTAGCAGATGATTTTATCCTAAGTAAACTTTAGTCCTGGTGTAACAACGGTAAAAGCCTTGTAGTAGGCTACTTTAATGAACCATATATAAACTGGGTTATCTTAGAAGTAGGGTCATCCATATCGTCGTTCGACTCCAAACTGTTAGAAACCTTGATTGGACTAGCATTATTCCAACACATTAGAGATCCACAAGATACGACTTAGGAAACTCTTCTTCTCTTCTAGATTTAGTCTTCACACACGGTGATGACGTTGGTCAAATGGCTTTTCTCCCACCACTTGAGAGAAGTGACCATGCAGTCACCCTATTCAAATTCGTGGCTGAGATTGCTTGTCAAACAGTTGCGCCGGCCCGTCCTAACATATGGAAGGCAGATATGCAGGCAATTAACTCCGCAGCATCGGCTGAGAACTGGGAAATTGACCCAAAGGCATCAGTACAAGAGGCATGGACTCTATTCAGGCAGTTATACAATCGGGTAACTCAACCATACATACCCTGGACTGTCCCAAAGAAAAAGAAGCACGGACATCCCTGGATAGGGCGGGATATTCGACGCTTACTAAGAAAAAAGAAGAAATGCTGGGATGTTGCCATCCGCCTTGGTACAGCAGGTACGATGGAACGCTACAGATCGGTAAGAAACGAGTGTAAAACAAAAATTCGAGAAGCTCGAAGAAAATATGAAATGCAGCTGGTACAATCTGCACTCAAGCAGCCCAAGAGGATATTCTCGTACATAAACTACAGAACAAGGATGCATCATTGGATTCCCAACCTAATTAAAGTAGGAAGTGAATCTGAAATGATAGAGGAAGATCAGGAAAAAGCAGAGGTTATGGCTGACTATTTTGGGGCAGTTTTCATTCAGGAGCCTCCTCTAGAAAAAGAACCAGACTCAAATACAGAGTCAACAAACTAGCTGCTCACCGTGGACTTCGACCAAAACGATGTGCTTAAGGCTCTTAGCACCCTAAACATGGAGAAGTCAACAGGACCAGATGAACTACACCCCAAAATCTTGAGACATATTGCCCAATATATCGCAGCCCCACTGACTGTGATATTCAAAATGTCACTTGACCAAGGTGTGTTACCTATGGACTGGAAGGACACATTCGTCACTCCCATACATAAAACAGGTCTACGACAAGTTCCATCGAATTACAGACCCGTAAGTCTCACCAGTGTTGTAATTAAAATACTGGAAAGAATAATCAAACGGACCATAACGGCCTTTATGGAAACCAATAACTTGCTGAACATGGCACAACATGGTTTTAGAAAGGGTCTATCCTGTACAACGAACCTCCTTGTAGCTAGGGAGTCCTGGATTGATGCACTAGACAACGGAAACTCAGTGGATGTTGTCTACATAGATTTCATTAAGGCTTTTGACAAGCTGCCAACTAATAGACTGCTATTGAAGTTGGAAAACCTTGGTATTGCCGGACCTCTTTTAAAATGGATTAAGGATTTCCTAGTTGGTCGTAGACAAAAAGTAAGAATAAATTCCAAGTGCTCCATTTGAAGACCAGTACTTAGTGGAGTACCCCAAGGTTCCGTCCTAGGTTCGTTACTTTTTATAATGTACGTTAATGATCTTACAAGTATAGTACAGTCTCCAATGTTATTATACGCTGACGATGTAAAAATTTGACGAGTAATAACTGGAGACAAAGACTCATTTACTCTTCAGGCAGACTTAAATAATATGATAAAATGGTCTAAAGAGTGGCTGATGCCTATCAACGCGGAAAAGTGTGTCTACATGCACTTGGGGGATTCAAAGGTTAGTAAGTACAACATAGGGGATGTGTCATTACCCGTAGTCTGGTCTCATAAGGATCTAAGGGTGACAGTGAGTAATGATCTTAAGACGACGGCCCATTGCCCGGAAGTCGCAGCCAAGGGGTTTCGAACCCTCTGGGCTTTAGAAAAGACATTCACTAAGTTAGGTACTACCATGTTCACCACAGTATATACATCCTTAATGGGAACTAAGTTAGAGAACTGCGTTCAGGCTGCAAGCCCCTGTTTAAAAGGTGACTCGGACATACTAGAAAACGTACAGAGGGCAGCTACCCGTGCAATTCCGGAACTCCGGGGTTTTTCATACAAAGAGCGGCTCGAAAAGCTGGACCTCTTTACTCTGTCCTATCGCAAACTAAGGGGAGATCTAATTTTGATGTACAGAATACTGAGAAATGATTTCGGACCTAACTTATTCTCTCTCTTTTTTCCCACTAGATCGGGACACCTCAGAGGACATAGTAGGCGAGTAGAAAAGCCAAGAACGAACAAAATACCTCTGGCATACAGGTTTTCACACCGAGTCATCAATACGTGGAACCTGCTGCCTGAAGTAGTGGCGTCCGCACCTTCAATTGACTCTTTCAAGAGAAGACTGGACACTCACAGTAGCATACTAGAAAAGGAATAACATAGGCTGTAGGCCTTCTCTCCTTACTACACAAATCTTTTAGTGTTATATTGGCTTCGCTGTCTCGAACACTAGTCCAGTTACAACTAAGTTAAAATATTGATGGTCGGCACCTCGTAAGAGATGCTAAGGAAAATTCGAAAACGATTCAACATACGTGGTGAAATTTACTTTTTATATATTTGCTGGGATTACTTTATTTGGTTGATCTTATATGTGATTCTATCTGACTGGCTATGACATTTTGAATTGTCATTCATTAAATCCTAATCTGATAAATAAAACGAGAACTTCAGGAGCAAGGACATTACCCTTCCATCTTCACTCATATGGATACTTAACAGACCACAGGACTATCCCATAGTGTCTATGAGGCTTTATAAAACATTTGATATCAGGCTCTTTATAAACTATAGTAGAATGTGCTCATCAGTGTGATTTAACCACTGATTTTCACTCCTAAGTCTAGTTCTAACGCTTATAAGGTTAGAAAATTTGTGACAGTTTTTTGAATTGTTGAAAACCAGTGACTACACGATATCTTCGTTTTATTATAGAATTTTTGACGATGTCAGTAACAAGGTGCAGAATTCCAAAAATAAATAGAGTACAAGCATCTTTGATATTCTTCAGAGCGTCGAACTAGCTAAATTATCGGAAGACTTGTATGCATTTCGATCTTCGTTACAATAGTAATCCCTTGGTACATTTAGCGCCCGTTGTTCACTCAAATTAAGTGGAGACAACTAGATGGTCCTAACAGAATACATACATCCACATTCTATCAACTGGTCACAGTAATGCAACGCGAATAGGGATGAGAATTTTAAACATGTGTGCGTGAAGAGCAAATGACTCATGGAAGAACAGTGAATACGGACGTTATTATTTAACCAACATCAACAAGTACATAGTTAATTTATATAGAAATCGAAAAGTGTACAAATTACAGGCAGTTAATCAGAAATTGCATGACAGACATATGATTTACAAGGTGTTTATTAACCAGCAGTGCCTCGTCAAGCCACACTATCCCGAACTCTCAGTAAGTGCTCTCATGTATCCAACTC